GCTTGATCGCCTGCGGCCCCCATCCCACTGGACCAACACCTGCAGCCCCACCCAAACGGCAGACCTCTAACTTCTTTAATCAGCATCTGTTCTTTGTCTGTATGACTTGCAACTTTTTGTTCCCTCATATAAAGTCACACCAAACCTCCAACTGATGTCCTTAGAATAAAGTTCTTACTGTCTTTATTATCTTATGGAGAAAGTTTCTCTTAGAATATATACAAAAGTTTTCCCAAACTATATCATACCTTGTATTTTATTTTACATTTAGATATTATTTCAGTCATATTTGAATAAGACTTAATTGTGTACAAATATTATTTCAATATTTGAATGACTTATTCTATAATATCCACATATTCTAATATAACAGTACTTCATTCACGTTTAATACTATGAGATAAAATAGTACGAAATAGCACTATGAGATGACTATGAGATAAAATATTCAGTATCAGAAATAGCATTGAATTACCTAACACAATGGTTCAATTTTAATGATAGTTCAGCTTCTATGAAGTAATTCTCCACAGATGGGATTAAGCTAAGTTTTACAAAATCCCTTTTCACAGCTATTTGAAGCACTAGAGGTTACTTAAGGACAGATCTGAGAGCTTCCCCAGTTCATGGCCAGAATTGGTGAAAACTTGGGTAGAAGCTAAGAACTTATTTGCTTGAATGTTACAAACCAAAGACTGGAAAGATCAGTTTAGCTGAAAATGAAGAGGTGTCCAAAAGCTAAGGTAGGCTCCCTAAACTCGGAAGATCAATCATCTCCCAAATTCTTGACTAACATCAGCATTACAGGAACAGGTACTCCAAGAGGCCCATAAGCACTCCACGGCAAGGGAGCTGGGCCTTTCAGCCCAGCCAGCTAAACTACTTATCCTCTTCAAGAGATCACACAATAGGATGTTGAGAACATATGATCTAGAATGTTCAGTATACTGGAAAATGATTATGATACAAAGAAACAGAAACAAAATCGCTTAGTCAAAAAAATCAGGGGCTGGGGAGATGGCTCAGTAGAATAAGCGCTTCC